CCACCTCTATAATCAGTACATTGTGTACAAAATGGGCCACATTCAGAATGTTATGGCAAACCTATGATATACTTTTTAAATCCTTTAAATCTTTTTCCTAACCAAACTATGCCAATGCATTAATCAAGCTATCTATGACCTAAGATCCCTTTTCTAGTCAATGGTTAGCTCAGACCCCACTGATCACACTTTACATTTTTCATTTTCAGATACTATTCTCAGAATGTACTCCTGGGAAAGAGAAATTATTCGTTACTTTGCTGAATAATTATTTTTATTAATTTTCACATACAGGACAGATGTATTTTTTTTAATCAAGGCATTTATCTTCATTTTAGGAAGGCTCTCAGATCATTAGCAATTGCCTTTTTGATAAATTGGTACTCTGTTTAAAAGCTTTTTTAATAAGCTGAGTTAATGGCTATACAATTTAGTTACAGTTTCTACTATTTTTCCGGAATCTCGTAATTGTTTTAATGTATTATACTTAACCAGAAAATATATACAAAATGTTCCATACATGAACCACACCATCCATTAAGTAGATACGCTTGGTGGTCTATGTACAAACAGAAACATGCACGTTTTGGTTGTTTTAATCCATATACAGTATTAAAGTGTTATAAGGATCAAAATACAGTTATTCCAGGCAGAAATGGAGGGGAAGGAGCAGCCAGAACCCTGGAAAAATTGGATAGGACAGGGCTGTGCGCAGGCCATGAAGAAATGGGGAGACACGTAACACTACTAGCCTTCCATACTCTCTGTATAAAACCACTTTGAGATCCATCTGAATGCTTCAGCCAAGGTTTTGTTTCTGCCAAACCATGGGCAATGCATCTCTCCAGTTTGACATAAAGCACATTTCCCATTTCATGACTACCCCATTAGCTACCATGGATTTTCCCAAGGTGGGGAAAACAAAAGTATTTTAAATCAATTAAAATAGTAGAACTTGTTAGATGTAACTACACATATGTTTTCAACTAGTACAGTATTAGAAACACAAGCAATAGTAGAAAAAGTATCAGGAACACTAAGTTGTTACTAGAATTGTAACATGAAGCTTTAAGGATTGAACAAATCAGATTTGATCACTTGTTAAATAATTTCCCCAACACAGAATAATACTTCCATTCCAATTAGGCCACCATCAAAGCTGACATGAGCCAGAGCATAGAACAACTCAAAAAAGTAGTACAAGATTGGAAGATGTGGAGACACCTGGCCCATAGAATCACCAAGGGATGGACACCACTAAATGGATATTGCTAGATGTAAAGGAAAGGTCTTCAAAATTTAATATTGAAGAGAAATTTAAAATTGAATTTGCTGCAGTGGAAACTTAACTGCCTGGACAAACAAGCTTACCAAAAACTATAATGGCTGGAAAACAGGAAAGGATAGCATAAAGGCAGGATGTAAGCGAAATACATAGGCAAAAATTAGCTGGGTCTTAGAGTGGGAAAGGAAGAAGACAAGCTATAAAAACATCTGTAAGAGGAAATGGCTAGCCAGGAAAACTTAACTAAACTGAAAAACAGGAAAGAACCTATTGTTCTAAGGGGCCCGTAACTCAAAACCAACAATTGAATATGTCTAATATTTTATATTAATATATATGCGATGTATGATTTAGTATGTAGCAGGAAATAGGTAGGAGGCGGTCAGAAAGAGGGTAACCTCATAGTACCTCAGCCAATGGGGAAAGAGAAGGGACGTAGCAGCCGGGATAGGGTTGTATAAAGAAGGGAATATTTTGGGTTGAAACTTTGGAGAGAACCAAGCTTTGATACCTTCTCTCCCCACTTCTTGCAATAAACGAAACAAAAGGCCTTCACTGTGTCTTGGCTGGTTATTGGTCAGGCGAGCTTGCCTCTGGTCATGAAGGAAAGTAGCCAGGAGCACATAACAGATATCATCATCATTATTATCCAATTATGCATTTTGATACATGTGAAAGATAAGGTCCAAATCTGGACAATTGGAGGCAATCATGACAACTATTCACCAGGATAGTGTGAAATGTGTGATAGTATTCACAAAATGAAGGCAGTAGATGCACTTACGAGAAATAAAATGTGGAAATTAAAACGAGGAAGAAACCAGATGGGGGGGGGAAGGGGTCTATATCTGCATCAAAAAAATAGTTACATCAAGACTGTAATAGAATTTTTAACTACTCCCGTTATAGACATTTTAACCCACATATAAAAACACACAAAACCCTCACCCTCTCATTTCACAACATCTCCATAAGCAGCACCTTCAAAGGCTTCGATATTCAGCTCATACTTGTGTAGCAAGGAGGAAAATTATCTTGATTTCTTGCCCGAGCTGGGTCGACCCAAGGTCACCTTGTTAAATAGGCCGATTTCTAGCCTGACCTGAACTTTGAATAGTTCACATGACACATATCAATTCGACACAGGAACCCACCCGGCCACCAGCTTCCGCCTCAAAACCACGTTTTTCTAGCAATTTAGACAATTGAGTCCCTTTTATTTCTCTCCCTCCTATCAAGAGTTTTCGGCTCCATTCCCCCTCAGTCCCCATGGCGGAGGGGGGCGTCCACCAGCTCCAGGTCCTGGCCCCGGGGTTGCGGGCGGAAGGGAGAATTGAAGCCAAGGTGTACCCCGAATGACAGCTCTCGTGCTTTCCTTGACATCACCGCCCTCCCCTCTATCTATTAACAGAGGAAAACCTGACACACACACACACCCCAACTTGGCTAAAGAAACCACTAAATAGGCGACTGGACGCGCTTTCTAACGCGCTCGTTCTCCGCTACACGCGGGGAGGGTGGGGGGGGGGGAAAGAGGCCTCATTAATTACCTCAATTCTAATCTCCGGAGCCCGATTTCCCCGAGAAACTCACCTCGCGCCTCTCGCGAGAAGGGCCGTTCTGCCATCAGGCGGAGCTTTAAAAAACAAACGGGGAATTCGACTCAAGGGGCGGGGGTGGAGAAAGCCGCTGTTGGGCGGGTTTTGGAAGAGCGAGTTAGTAGGGAGGGAGGGGTAGAGAACCTGTCGTTTGTTACCCCGGTAACCGTAGAACGTGCTTGCTTAGGCCGCTAAGTCGCGCCTGCGCAAAGGAGTTGTTTCGGCTGTAAGATCTTTTCGTGTCCATTTCCACTTACTCTAGAGAGAGGAAAGGGCTTAATTTGTGCTCAGCTGTACACATGACGTTCTGAAGGGAAAAAAATAACAAAGCCTTTCGCTTTGTCTGCTTTTTTGGGCGCTTTCTACAAAATGTCTCTCCCTCGGGCTGAAAATCCTGCTTGGATTTCAGCAGCAGGATTTTAAGCTCCTGAGCAGAGCCTCCCAAGGTCTCCTCCTCTCCCCCAAGGTATCCCTTGCTCCTTACCATCTGCTAAAACGGGTAGGCAACCTTGGCTCTTTTATGACTCGTGGACTGATTTCACCAGGCCAGGTTTGAGTTTACAGTATATAAGCATAATGTCATACAGTTTGGGCTTAAGGCACTATTAAAATATTCCCCAAATTTCCACTGCCAACCATCTGGTTCTTAGCACAGTGTTTCTCAACCTTGACAATTTTAAGGCATGTGGACTTCAACTCCCAGAATTCCACAGCCAGCAATGCTGGCTGTGGAATGCTGGGAGTTGAAGTCCACATGCCTTAAAATTGTCAAGGTTGAGAAACACTGCTAGCATATAGAACACAGGTGTCAAACTCGTCGTGTCATATGACGTGTCGCGACATATCGTGACCTTTTTCGCATTGGCGGAGCTGGGGTGGGCGCGGCCTCCGCATGATGCAATTGGCCCACGGGCCGGCAGTTTGACACCCCTGATATAGAATATGTTGCTGTCAATGTGGCAACACAAGGTTTAATTGGTTAAAATTACAATGTTTTAGTTGCATTATAATTCTAGGTGTTTCGGAAGTTTTGCAAAATATTTTTTTAGAAATGATGGGAAAGAGTTTTCTCTCCTGCAAATCTTTTTATCCATAATTAGAAGTATTTGTTATAGGAGCTGGGATACAAGGTGGCATTTTGTCCTTGGTCCTCTTTGGGTTAGATTCTCACTCTTATCAAGTCAACCAGGAAATATTCAAAACTAATGTTTTTCTTTTACTTGAGATCTCAGCAGGTACATTATCAGAGTTCAATTGTAAATTCAATTATTTTAAAAAAGCTTAATGTAAATTCAGGTTAATTTACATCCGGGCTCTATGGAAGGTTGTATGTAGCCATTGGGAAAAACAATTTTCCTAAAATATTGGTAGCTTTATGCACACTGGAGAAGAGATGGAAATATTAGCCTGACAATATGAGTGGATCTCAGTTTTGAAGAAATGGAAAATGAAAGTTCTTAATGACAGAAATGGTTTCTTAAATATTTTAAGCTGAGGTCATATTTTGGTCTTTAAAATCCAAATATGAAAAAATGGCCACGTTTTTTCTACCCAGTCATAACTTTGGGGACAGCTCTCTTTGCAATCCAGCTTTACAGAGATTTATAGCATCTTCTGTATATTACTGAAAAATGGCAACTGTTTACATGAGATCTTGAGTACAGAAATAAGAGTTCTATTAGAAATGAATGGTTAATGTGCACTTTCTAAGATATTTTCCTTGAAATGCTTACATGTGGAAATGTCTGCTTTCTAATCAAATATGTTTTTAATCATACTCCACTTATCAATATAATATTTCAGTATAAAAAGCTTTAATCTTCAATTGATGTCTTTTAATTACATTCAATTTTTATTGCAGCAGAACTGGAATCTGTGGCATCTTAATTTATTTCACTGTAACATTTAATACTGTAAGTAGAATATTTTTAAAATTATGTCCTCAGAAGAAAAAATTGGGTTACCCTGTTCCAGTGCCAATAAACAACTTATTCATTCCAAAGATGCTAAGGAACATCACATTCTCTTTATCTATCGTACTTGCATTTAACTGATTAAATATGGTAGACACCATATAAAAGACACCATTTTAATAGGGAAAAAATACAAGAAACAGCTGCATTCTTTTCCTTTATTCTAATTAACCAATGCCTTATGTCCACATGCAACTTATTGCTTTAGATATTATTGAATATACTTCTACACAAACATATACAAACAGCAAGACTTTAAAAACCCAGTGAAGTGCAAACTCAGTTATATACATTTATCACAAACAACATAAAAATATTTTCGAACTGGTAGGTAAACCATGTTAATGTTCACCAAGTACTTCATCAGAATTGCCCAATCTCATATGCCATTGTCATTGTGGTGGGTGGCAATCCAATCAGTGTAGCTGCGGTATTTCAGTTTAGCCCAGGAAAATAAATATCCACTTCATTCCTGTAATTATTTTCAGTAGTATGTTTATTACACTTTGTGCTGTGATTCAATAAAGCTTCCCTATTTGGCTGTTATTGCACTCTACGTCTCCTGGAATTTGTAAACCAGATTACATCTCATAATGCTTTAAAAAAAATGCTTTATAAATGAAAATATGTAAGCACCAATGCAGAAAGTACAATATAGATATTTCATTTAGTGATTTTGTCACTAAGTTCCCGAATACAATCAGTTACAAATGTCATCTAAAACAGCAATTATTTTTTATAAAGAGGCAAAACCTACTCCATTATTCATGTGTATTCTACGTTTGTAATAAAAAAATTTAATTTTAAACTATTACAATTCCATGCTTATTTAGGAGTCCATTCAAACTAGTTAGAAGGTCAGAGCCCTTCAGTTGCATCTTCTAGTATATATTTCTAATTAAATACCCTCTTTGGGAGGCCCTGATGCCTCTCAAGACTGCTTTCTTGTTGAGAAACTGCTGTTTTGAAAGCAATTTATAAGCACAAGTAAGTCCCTGTGTTTTTCCTGCTCTGATGGGGCTATGTGTGATTTCATTGGGAGAATAGCAAAAGGAAAACATGCACTCTTCAAATATGGATCCGGCCTCTGATTTTTCTCAAAGATAACTAAAAAATCCAAATCATGGAAGCCACAAGGGGGTCTAATCTAAGGAGATCTGTTGTATAAGAGAAAGGAGAATACAATATTGGATGATCAATAGCATATATTGCTAAAGTTTACAAACTTCTGTATTTAAATTTCAGCAATGTAAGGCCACATCAAAAACAATTATAAGATCACAGGCTGAATTTGTACTCTTCATTACTAGACTAAACCCCCCCCCCATCTATTTGTACAATGAGATCAGTCCTGCATCATTCATTAGATAAGTCAGCATGATTGTTAAAGGAAAAAAACAATATTAGTACAGTATTTTGAAATAAATGCTTCATCAATCACAACTTATATTGATGACAGTATATTTTGCTGCTGCTGTATATTCTGGGACTCTAAACGGAGCATCAGTGGGATTAACTTTACTAGGGATTTCATTTCAACAAATCAGTGAGATTCCATACATTAGCAATAAGTATGATTTTGACATTCCATCTCACCGTTCTCAAAATAGCATGAGATTAATACTTCAACTTCCCATGAGACGGGGTAAGGGAACCAAGCTAGTACTGGAATACATAGCATGGTACTATGTCTAGATAGAGTTTAGGAAGAGGAGGAGGAGGAGGAGGAGGAGATATTTAATCAATTTATATGGCTATCAACTTGCCAAGGAACAGCTAAAAAGGCATGGTTAACTGTAGTCAACAATAATAACAAAACATACAATCCAGCTGGTAAACGATATCATACTATCTCCCAAGGTGGCACATCTAATATCCCAGCCTGAAAATCACTTTTTTAATGCCTTGTAAAAAATTAGCAAAATCAGGGCCCACTGAAGCTCAGGGAAGATCATTCGAGACCCAGGCATTGCCATGGAAGTGGTATGTTTCCTAGGTCCGGTCAAAAGACAGGACCTTGGCAGAGGGCATGGGATGGAACAATACAACTAGAGACAGGCAGCCCTGCAAGTAATCGGTTCTGTGCCCTGCAGGAATCAATAGATAACCTTCGCCTTCAACGGCACTTTTGTTGATGCAAGTTCAAATCTTTCTGGTAATATGGACAGGAAGGGGCGGGCTGCATGTGTAAATATGTGTGGGCAGAGAAATCTTAAGCCATAATTGGCATTTCACTTTTGAAATAGAATCCATTCTAGTTATTTTTGCATGTTTATTAGGTAGCATATTTTCTTTACATTGCACAGAAATGTTGCAGAATAGCATCAGAGTGAATACATGAATTTTATGCAATTTTGATCAGAAGGTTATATGCACAGTAACCTTAACATAATTTAAGGAAACTCATGGAAAGAAAATATCCTGTTTCTTTCTTTTCCCAGAAACCCATTTTGTTCTCTATAGAACCTGACAAGAAACTTTCCTTCGCTTACCTTCCTCAAGTTGACATCTAAGAACTAAATATAATTTCGGACAAATCCTCCCATCCAATCCCACATAGTTCAGGGAAACCTCATGGTTCTCCAAAACATCTTTTTAGGATACATGAATGGTTTCAGAGGAAAAAAGGATTAGAAATCTTCCCTTTCATAAATTTCCTTAAGTTATGCTAAGATTCAGGTGAGTGTCTTCCTTAAAATAGTCTATGACAGGGGCTCTCAACCTTAGCAACTTTAAGAGTTGTGGACTTCAATTCCCAGAATTCCTCAGCTTTGCCGGCTGAGGAATTCTGAGAGTTGAAGTCCACAACTCTTAAAAGTTGCTAAGGTTGAGGACTCCCGGTTTATGAACTCCATGACAGCTTACAAGGAAGAAACTAACCAAGACAAACTACCCAGTCATGTTGCCTTTTTTAGTTTTCCATAACAAAATTATCCTTGCTAAAAATAATAAAACAAATGAGTATATTCATGTTTAATCTTTACTTAAAAATAAAATAAAGGATTGAGAGATCGATTTATAAAACCTGTGTTAATATACTATACTTAATCATGGTTATTTTTGTAAAATAGTAGATTAGTTCTGATATTAATCCTATTAGTAATACTGTGATATTATCAATGTTTCCAGTGTTAAAAAGTCTTCTGAAATGAGTGGGAGTTGTGGGCCGCACTGTACATGCTACAACTTGTAATATGCATGCTAAGCAGTAAATTATATTGGGCTCTCTGAGATTTATTTTAGAGTAAAGATAATTATATTGCCTATCTCATTCAGCAGTCCAATGGAGCACAAATTTTTAATTCTACCTTCTAATGCATTCTTAGTAGATTAAAAAATATTTAACAATAAGATTGTCTATATAATCAAATAGTATTATCCTGAATCTTTACATAAGTCAATTGATTTCTCTTTGCAATTAGTCTCTCAAAATAGCTGAGGGATTATGCTCCTGCTAATGTAAGTCCCTTTTCATATTTCACCACAAATAAACACATTTGTTTTTCCTCCCTAAAAAAAGTACAAGTTACCATATCAATTTGTAAGATAATGGCACATTACAAACAAATTATTTCAAAAAGCCAACAACATCAGTTTTTAATGCCTTTTATGACATACATTTTCTCTAGAAAAAAGCTCTGATGTAGTCTAGGGGGGACACAGGATCAGTCATTAAAATTTTAATTCAATTCAAACTTTAAATTGCTTGATAATTTTTTAACATTTGATTTATAGTTATTAGCATACTAATATTTTACGTTTAAAATCTCACAGTTGAATTCATACATAACACATGGAATTTCAACCGGATACTGCTGAAAGTTAAGTACTGTAACTCTTGCTGATGAAATATGGAGAGATTTCCCTTCTCACCAGCCATCTAATCAACATCAAAATATGGTTCCTGAGTATAAACCTGATATGTCACATTTCATTTACTATGTTTGACATGTTTTGAAATATCTGAGGAGTTTAAAATGGGATATGCAAATCAACATTTGCTATTACAGTCATCAACCTATGAATAAGGTTTTGCTGTGCTTACATAATATTCTAGAATATCAAGAACATAATTAAGTTGCATTGATGGGAAGAATAAGCAGTTCTCTGCAATCTCCCAATATGCAAATAAACAAATCAACAGTAAATTAAGATATGTTATTCAAAACATAATTAAGTGTTAGATGAGTAAGTGGTGAATATCATTAAAAATACATTGGATGATGATTTGGTAAATTCAATTTAATATATTACAATATAAAACAAATTTGAGTCCATAATAGCGGAGAGCATATGTGAAGTTACTGTAATTGTAAACAATAGATTTTCAACTATTTTGTTTTTCTTACAGATTTTCCCTTTTCGCTTTGTATTTGCAACTATGATTCATGCCCTTGTTACCTCACAGCTAGACTATTGCAATGTACAGTATTTTATGTGGGACTCAACTTGAAAATGACTGGGAAGTTGCAACTGATCCAGTCTGCATCAACCTAGCTAATAAAAAGGGAGAAGTGGATTTAGTAGCATAACACCCATACTCTAGACACTTTGTTGGTTGTCAGTAGGCTTCTGGGCCCAGTTTTAACCTATATAATGTCTTACACAGTTCAGCACCAGTGCACCTCTCTTGAATAGAATCAGTCATCCTGTAAATACCGTTCGTAGAAAGGTGGCAAAGGATCCCCCAACTACATGAAGTGAAAGAAGTAGGTATCAGAAGTGTGTATTCTCCCACTCTGTGGAATATCTTGATCCCTGAGATGCAGAAACTATTTGTTGTTGTTTTTTCTTTCCAAAAAATTTAAGACCAATCTGGTCCAAACATTTTTCGGCGAAGATGATGAATCTGAACTATTACTGTAATGTCCTTTTTAATTAATTTGTGATTGTCTTTTATTCTGACGATACCCAGGTTACTATAAAGCATCTTGAGTTGCTAGAACTAAAACGGTATAGCTGTGACTAAATAAATACATACACAAATAAATAAATATTAGTGACGTTTCTGCAAGTAGCCATTGTCAAGAGCTGAAGGATGATTTTTCTCGTTGGAGGAGCACATCTTCCTAAATTGCATTAAAGAAAAATTGAGAAAAGTTAAAATGAACTGTTTAGTAACTTTTCTTACTTATAGAGGCTCTTGTGACAATCCACATGTCCAAAATTCATTAATGCTTTACCCCTCAGGAGTTTCATAGCATAAAAGTTATCTGTTACACTATAAAACGCTGAAAACAGATCAAAGTCCCAATACTTGTGTCAGGGAAACAGAATATTGGCACGTTTTTAAAAATCCCCCTACTGTTTACCATGCAAAGATGCTGAAATTTGGATATTTAAAAAGTTCAAAACATCTATACTATTTTATATACCGTAAGAAGCAATAAAAATAACTCATTTAAGAAAAAAGATCTTCAGGCTCAAATTTGTATTTGTATGTAAAACTAGTCAATGAATCCCAAAGATCCTATTCATGCATGTAAGGCAGTAGAAAATGGAGTAAAATGTATAGATCTGAAATAAGTAATTTGCAAAGCAGATGAGTCTTCAGATATGAACACCAAATATTAGGAAAGCCAAGAAACATGCCAGAAATGTTGCCATATTAGCAGAACGTAAACAACCTGACAGTCACAAGCATTAAAAATGTATCATTTTAAGAAACCTGAGTGAAAATTCACAAGAATATAGTGCTAAAAAGGGTTGATCCTTCAGAGATTCAGCTGACTGCTCAATGCTTAGGACACCATGCCAAGGTAAACATATGCAGCATGTTGTTGTTGTTTCTGACACCACGCAATCCAAGTCTTCAGAAGAAAATGTTTTGGAGATCCAGGAGTGTGTTATTGGAAATGCTAAATTTAAGAAAGGTATCACTATATTTCCTTAAGAGGAACTTTGTATGGCAAAAGTCTGCATTGTTCTTTTAATGTACCCCAAACTGCTATTAAATGCTCTTCTTCGTGTTGCCATTTTTATGAGCTTTGGCTTCTTCTTGTCCGATGAGACAAATAACCTTGTAACATCCTCGTGTAATTCTGACCATCCACATTAAGTTAATAATATCCAGTAAGATACTGGAGATAAACCAGGCGCTTTGAGCTGCAAATCCTAATCTGTAGTAGGCTTCTGTTCCAAACTCAGAAGCAACACTGTTGTAATAAATTGGAATGACTATGATCCTCCCTAAGAAGAACATGATGGTCATTAGCAGTCCATTGATGATGTTGGCTTTTGAAGCTTTAGAATACCCCAGTGCTTCAAAGAACCACCTATAAGAGAAAAAAGATTAACAGAAATCAAAATGAGAAAAGTGGTATTTATTTTATCTAGGCAAAGTCTGAGACTACATCTGCATATCTGCTTTGCCTTGAATGATCAATAAATTGTGCTGCCCTAAAATATGGCTGCTGCCACAGTGTCACCCTTATCACTTATTTGGAAGCTACAAAACTGTCTCCACAGATTGCGCAACTTGCTAAGAGGCATGACTGGTGGTTCTTTGGCTGAAATTCCAACCCCATTCAACATCCTGTGAAAAGCCCTTTCCAAATTGTATACATAATGCTTTGATTACTCCAGAATTGCAATCATTTCTTTCTTCTCTCCTGTCATATCATCAACTAATTGAACTATTTTTGTTCTGTTTTATTTTGTTTTAAATCATTTAAACTGTGAATTGATAGATTATAGTGAAAGACTTTGTATCTCTTTGCTGCCATCTAATGATTTTTGTAGTGTATCAATCATCTGGATTTGGACAGCAGTTGGATAGGTGGCGATGAAGACTTGACGTTTGAGAAATGGGTTTAGCTGTGGGGAACTGTAAGCTTCCTAAGAATATTACACGAAGAGAGGTAGTAAGGAGCAAAGCTCTTATGAATTGTAGTAATTGAGAAGAAAATTCCCTGTCAGGTGAGCTACATAAGTAAAAAAGATGAGTTCTTTCTATTACACTTCCAATTACCTATGAGAATACAAGAATAGGTTTGTCAGTTTTAGGACTTGAAACTCCATCAATCAATTGACTAATCCAATGGAGGAAGGGTGTATGTAGAGTGGCTAGAAGCCAGGGTTTCAATTTACCTAACAGCCTGTAAGGTTCCTGGCCCTTACTTAAATTTGAGATACCATTAAAAGTCTAATCAAGCAACTCAAACGGAGACTTCTTAAGAAAACAGTGCTTTAATTGATCAAATAAAACAGCTGGGTAGCAAACAATCTGGAACGCTGGCAGAGTTACGTCCAGAAGTGCCAACACCTTAGAAAATTAGTAGCATTGCTTTATAAACTTTGTTAGCCAATAAAAATCAGACAACAGAGCCATTATATCGTAAGGAAGACATCAATCATTCCTGTACACTTACTTATTCCCTCCTTCAGTACATCCCATCCATGTACATGTCTTCCCATGCTTGCATGAAATTTGTCCCTGACACAAACGCTGATTACAAAAATGAGATAGCAAGTTAGGCTAAACAATTTATTTTGTTCCAGTTACAGAACCCTTCAAGCCTAAAGACAACTGAGGGGTAGGAGACAGACCTGAGACTGGATAAAAGAGCTTGATCCAGCAGAAAACTGGCAGCATTATATGAACCACAAGATTGTCAGTGCAGGACATGTTCCCCACATGTATCAATGTACTTGTCACTACCCACATATGTCTCAAGGATAAGAGAGAAAATAATAAAATCTAGTAGAATAAAGATTCTAAATCTGCTTTGGGCTGCGTCAGCTGCAGAGGAGCTATGCCCTAAAACAGGGATCCCCAACCCTTGGGCGGTAGCCCATTACAGGCTGTGGCCTATTCAGTGCCAGCCCACTACTCGCACAAAGGCTGTGTGCGCGCATGCCGGCCAGACACTCGCGCGGCCCAGTTCCTCTCTCCCCCACCCCAGCCAGGTCGCCAAACTGCAAAGGTTGGGGATCGCTGTCCTCAAAGTATATTTTTTAGTGGATGAGATATTCTACACTTGTTCTTTGTGATAAATAATAAACAAGCACAGAAATGAGCAATTAGTTCTAATCAATAGATAGTATGTATAAATCAACAACAGGACAAAAATATTTTGTATGCTAAAGAATGCATAGATGTAAAAGTGAGGTCCTGTCTCATTTCTCTCATCTTCCTTTTTGTAAACAGACAAAAGCCAAACTCACAGAATATATTCTTAAGTTATGGAAATGTGCGCAGTAGCTGTTCTCCTCAAGCTAAAGGAAATTTTGAAGAGACATGAGACAGAAATCAATGTTCTGTTCGATCTTGTTATATTTAGCTCTCTTCAAAACTCATCTATTCTAATAAAGTGAGAAATATTCCTTTCCCTTTCATATTGTCCCTACTCAAGTATACTGTAGTTTCTGCATTCTACAGTTGCCTGGACAGAAGTAAAGAAAGGGGTAATATAGTTCCTTTTCTCCCTATTTATCTAGAAATAAAAAGTGAAATAAACGTAAAGCAAGTTCTAACAGAACACTGAATTTTGCCTCATGTCTCTTCAAAACTTTCCTTACACATTATTAAGGATCATTATATAAAAGCAAATGCATTAGGCCTCTGACAAATTTTAGGGGGTTTTATGTATACAGCATATCATTTATTTTTTCAAAACAAACAATGAAGTTCCTCTGAAGTGATTTTCTACAGTAGTTTAAACTTTAAACTATCCAGATGATTCAAAAAGGAAGGAAAAGAACTTATGATTTATTAAGATTGTTGTACCTTGCTTTTTATAACTTTTGTCGTCAAGCTCACAAGAGTAATTGAATTGCTTATAGATATCAAGGAAGTTAGCTGAAGAGAACATCTTGAACTATTTTCCTTTTGTTAACGATATAGGCGAGGAATACAAGCTGTTACATAAAGATCTATATTCACAATCTATATTTGTGTGTTAGTAAAGAGATTCTCTTCACGTCAAAGCAGCAAAAACAAATAGCAATAACATAGCTCCGAAAACAGCTGTAGAAAGAAATTTGAAAGCAATCTGAAGTCAAACTGCGCATACTAGTTCTGTACTTATGCCATGCTGCAAAAGGAGCATGACAAAGGATTCACTGTTTGCAATGGGCTAAGACCTTCCAACAGCAATAATGAAATGACTTAAGAATCACTTTTTGCATGACAGATGAAGCAAACAAAATAAAAATAACATTTTAATATAGTAATGAGACAAAGAGGCTAAGCTTACTTTCTCTTCATTCTAATTCTCTTCATTCTAATGCTAAAAAACTTTTGCTCTACATATGTCCTGGCCAAAATAAAGAAAATGACAACATAAAGCAATACTAAAAAAATTAGACTGTTGAAACTTAAAAGAAAACACTATGTTAAACATATTCAAAGTCTGAAATGAAAGTAAATGAAAGTAATTATTCAAAATCAGTAAAAAAAGAAGGCAATGAGTAGCAATGGAAGGAGAGGAGAGGAAAAAAGGAAGGAAGTTGATACCTTAAGATATAAAATACCGTTTATAAATATTGTCATGCAGAGTGGTCTAATATATACTTTTTTTGTGAAAATTATAGAAATTAAACAAACAGTATGATAATAATGTGATTCTTTAGAAAAATTCAAAAATTAATTTCTAGATCTCACTATTAGGCATTCTTGGTGCCTAGATGGATCATGCTTTGACATATCTCAGAAGTGGATTATATAATACAGTAGCAGATACGAACAAATAAAAACAGAACAAGAATGAAATAAACTTGCAAGAGACAGTACCATACAATTCTTGAAAATACATGCAACTCAAAAATTGACCCTTTTACTAAGGGACCTATTCCAAGAATCATTGTACAAAGAAAAAAAAATCTTAACATTTTTATTTAAAGTCTCTTTCTTCTTTAAAGACCCTTGAATGGATATTAAATAAATAACAAAATGGTTATTGGTTTTAGTTTGAATAGTTATCTTTTTAGAAACTAGGAACATCATCTGCTAATAGAAATTAAATTATTTCATAATTAAATGCAATTTCATTAAGTCCTCTAGCAATCATACATTTTTTAAAAAAATTCTCAATTAATATCTTTAGATCATTTTCATTAACCCTTTGCTAAAACACCAGTGACCACAAGGTTTTAACTTTAGAAAACAGTGATATTGTATCATAGCATATAGACAGCGCACATTTGTTAGATCAGTGGCAACTAGTTACACATAGCAAGCTAAATGATAAGGTAAGAATAATAGGAAATATTACCTACCGCTGATTTACAAAAGGGGTAGAGATTTCTGCAAGCAGACGAAAATTAGCAAAATATCCCAATAATCCTCTATCCTAGAAAAAGGAAGTAGAAAAACAAACCAGAGATCACCAGTTCTAAGCCTTATAAAAAATAACAATATAACACTTCTACATATCAACATTATACTCTAACATAAAATAATAGAAGTAGACTGGAAAATTAACCACATAGAATACTATTTTGGAAAATATAACAAGTTCTTCAATCTTTTCTCTAATGAATGTAGTGTATCACTTAACACATGGTCTAGAAACCAATGTAAAGATCCATTCACTAAAAACTAATAAGAAAAATCCTTTCACAAGGTTCAAATTTATGTAAGTTTTATCCACACAGAATATAAATGAGTCTACTACTATTGAATAAAGGCTGCTGCTGTCAATGCCCTGATCCCCGAATTTCCATGTTGCTGTGCATTCTATAGATAGTTCTCAATTTACAACCAGAACTGAACCCAAAATTTCTGTTGCTGAGTGAAACAGTTGTTAAGTGAGTTTTGCCCCATTTTACAACCTATATTGCCACGGTTGTTAAGCAAATCCCTGCAATTGTTAGGTTAGTAACAAGGCTGTTAAGTGAATCTGTCTTCCCCACTGACTTTGCTTGTCAGGTCTCAAAAGATGATCACATGACCCTGGGACACTGCAAACTGTCATAAATATGAGTCAGTTGTCTGAATTTGATCATATGGCCATGGAGATGCTGCAATAGTCGTTAAGTGGGAAAAATGGTCATAAGTCCCTTTTTTCAGTGCTGTTGTAACTTCAAACAGTCATTAAACAAACTGCTGTAGGTCAAGGATTACCTATATATATAATAATAATAATAGTAAAGTTGGAAGGGACCTTGAGGGTCATCTAGTCCAACTCCCTGCTCAGGCAGGAAACCCTATACCATTTCGGACAAATGGCTGTCCAGTCTCTTCTTAAAAACCTCCATATAACTGCAATGGTTCAGTATGCTATCAACAATACTGATTTCTGGTTAGTCTGTGTATGGTCTATTGACTGCCAAATTTACACCTAGGTTAAATTCTAGCTACTGCTGTTTAACTTTAAAGCTTCATTCCCTTAATTCCAATATACTTGAAAGAGGACAAGTATAAAAGACAAAGCTTATCAATTGAAGGGTTATTGATGAATCAATAACAGGATGTATTGATTATGAGACACTGTAACTGTAACTTCCTTAAGTGATAAAGAGAAGAGAAGAGAAGAGAAGAGAAGAGAAGAGAAGAGAAGAGAAGAGAAGAGAAGAGAATATGAGGGAAGGGAAGGGAAGGGAAGGGAAGGGGAGGGGAGGGGAGGGGAAGAGAAGAGAAGAGAAGAGAAGAGGAGAGGAGAGAAGAGAGAGAAGAGAAGAGGAGAGAAGAGGAGAAGAGAAGAATTCTTTAGTGACTAAGTGTGATTAGACACACAAGGAATTTGTCTCCAGTGCATAAGTTCTCAGTGTACATACAAACAGTCATAGGTCACTTTTTTTGTCACTCCCCATAAGCAAAATAACATAAGACAGTTACATATTTGAGAACTAAGTTCAGCCCTGAAATGACAGATGTTGGTCACCTTCTTACATTTCAAGTTTATTCCTTTCTTGTATTTTCCTGTATTATTTTATTCCTTTCCTTTCCTGTATATCGTAAGTCTCATAGAGCAGTTACTTTCTTCTTGAGAAGAGCCATGAATCTTAATGGTAAGCCTATTAAAATCTATTTTTACTAAAATACATGTATACTTGTTATGTCATAAAATTAACACGGAACTTACCAGTACAAAGTAATATGCATATATAGCTAGTACATGGTGAATTACAAAAAATACATCCCCAATTGCCTTCCAGTGAAAAATAATAAGCAACAAATCTGAAAAGGAATAAAGAATGTAAGTAAAATTCTATAATTATTATATTTTATTTTAAAACTTCTAATGCTGCAAGGCAGAGATGCAAAATTACTTCTCTTTTTCTGTTACCAGGATAAAAATTTCCAAGTGGCCCTGGCCAGAACATCATTAAAAATAGAACCCCAAGCTTTGGCTTATGATCCCTTTCCATGTAACATTGATTGTTCCTTTTAATATAAATCTCAGATTTGCCTCATCGTAGGAAATTATTATCAAATCGAGTCCTGAAGTTGCCTAATATTTCAAACAATCTCCTCCCACCTTATGTTTGGAAATATTTATTTAAGACATGCAGGAAGAGATGCATACTGTATTCATGTACATCCTGAAGTAGCCTTTTAAAACTGAGGATTAGTGGTGAAGAAATTGAACTTTCAAAACAAAACAATATGTTCTCACACTGATTAATCAATTTCCATCTCAAGGAAAACTCAGGGGAAGGCCTGTAATTAGGAAACTAAGTTTCCCTCCTTGAACAGCCCTTTATTCCCCCTTATTTTTCTATGGTTATTAAATTATTGATACCAGATTAGTGCCATGGAAGCAGGAAGCAAGGTGGAAAGAAAGAAAGTAATTCTTGTTACTCAGGCTTGAGAATGAGAAATTGACAGAAGAAAATATTTTAATAATTAACACAATACTGTCATGTTATGAAATTAAATAATCACATTTTATAGCACAATTTTTGGTGTGAGGAAAATATGGTCTGCTTCCTACAGACAGACTTTCGTAAAGAGGGCCATGTTTTGGTAAACATCTGTTAAAAGGTTCTTTCAAAACAGATAACTTACAATAAATTATATACGTAATATTTTACACGTTTACCTGAAATGAGGTAGCCTACAGTGATAGCAAGATTTAGTTGCACTGTAGAAGCATTGCCCCTATAAACAAAGACATCCAAGGAAACACATTAAATATAACACATTTTGCTTATATTTATTTCCCCCCCCCAATATGGTGATCACTTTTTTTGATGTTGGAAGAGAGACCCCACATCTGGTAAGATGATCCTACAAAACTCTGGTAAATGGCAAACAGGCAAGAGAAAAGCTTCTGAACATAGTTAAAAAGATTAATGTACTGTATAATATTATGAAGACAAAAAACTGAGGGGATTAGCCATTATTCAGAGAATTAGGTTGCTAACTTCCTCCACCTTTGCTCTATCTCAGTTTCCCCCCAAAAGGTACTAATGATCTGGTTGCAAAATTCTAACAACTGCCTCCTCTGTGGTCACATGATAATATTTTGGGTACTCAGCAACTGCCCCACATTTAAAGCTATTTGAATCAGCTCACAGTCACTTGACTTTGATTTACAATGGTTTTACTGAAAACCATTGCTTCTGGTTTTCAGCAAGAATGGCCCATAGCAAACAATGAGTTTGCTTAACAATTGTGAATTCACTTAATGGTCCATGGTGATTCACTTAATAACTGCCACAAAAAAGTGGTAAAATCAGATAGGTCATGTGATGACCCTGTTTTTTGATCATGACCTATTATAATGGGCAGGCTCCATTATGGTCGTAAGTCGAAACTACTTGCATATACTAATAGGTAGGGTCAGGCTGCCTCAGTTTTTTTTTGTTTTAATGAAGCAAAGGGCCCCAAGCATCCTCCACATTATAGTTAAATATAACTGTAATTTTAGAAAGCTTTGGATGGCAAATAGATATATTTCTTATGTTTTTAAATTAAACATAGAGATAATTTGACTAGCAAACGAAATAATGAAGGACAGAGAAAATGAGGTATTTCTTACCAAACACGGTCAGCATTAACAGCTTCATCATACAATAAAATATACACACAAAATATTCCAACCACCAAGGCATGGAACGTAGATACTGTCCTAAAAAGACAAAAGCAATCCCATTAAGTATATGCTACCTTTAGATTGGTGGCATGGTAATGAAAAAAATAAGCAATTTCCTATGACCTTAAAATGAGATTTGTGCAATTTAAATGTTTATGTACTGGATACCTCATAAAAAATAATGTGGGTTGATATCGAGTATACTATAGATGTATAATTCATTGTAATTGATTTCAATTGTAACTGAAACTTTGCCTTGCCAAATTTATTGTTACATTTTGGGATATACCAACTGATTGTTATTTTGATTCTGGATCAACTGCTTTATGATGCATATGTTTTTCTTGGCTTGATCTGGAATCTACAAAGATCAAGATTATGATGATGTTATCTGTTCAGTCGAGTTCAATTCTTGGTGATTCAATGGGCCAGGTCTCTCCACAACTTCCAATCTTTCACTATTTTTTTTTACTTTTTCTATGCTCTGCCTGGTATCAACTTTGATAGTGTCCAGCGCCCATGGTTTTTGACAGCCTGGTTTCCTTTTACTGCTAACTCTTCCAAACATAATTGCTTTCTTCAGTGAATTCCCCTGCATGTCGTGGTCAAAGTAAGTGAGATGCACTTCTGTGATTTTGCTTTCTGGTGACCTGTCTGGTGTTATGCGGTCCAATACTTGCTTGTTAGTCACTTTCTCCAGCACAATAGCTCAAACAAGTCAACTTTCTTACTGTCTTATTTTTTTTAAGGTCCAACTTTCACAACCATAGGTGGCTACAGGGAACACAATAGAGCAGGGGTGTCAAACTGCTGGCCCATGGGCCAGACACATCATCCGGAAGCCGCACCCATTGCTGGCAATGGCAAAACTGTCCCGATACATTGCACGACGTCACGCGACATCACAAGTTTGACATGTCTGCAACAGAGCGAGCTAACCTATATTTGGTTACCAGACTGATGTCCTTGCTTTTTTAAAAGATCAAGGATACTGAACTTTCTAGGCATGTCTGTTGGTTGAAATAAGGAGAGAATTCTATACTATGGATCACATTTTAATATAGAGCCCTTATTTGCTTGCAGGGGAGGGAGGTATCTTTTCCTGAATCACAAAATGTCTGTTTTCTATTATTTCAAGAAATCATGCTTACTTGGTGAATTACCTTCCTGTTAGCTTTTAATATAGAAACACATTGTAAAAAGTAATGTAACAACTTAACATTTTGCAATGTGGTACGTCTAAGTAAAATTTAAAATGTTTGAGGAAAAACAAGTCTCTCGGTATCCATTCAGCTGACCTCACTCCCATGTCAGACAGAAAATGTAGAGCATTTCTATATTCTCTCAGATACACAGGCTGTTATTTTTTTGAAATAAATTTCACAAGCAAATTTAATTGTTTTCCAATAAAATATATACAGTATATGCAGCAATAATTGACCAATTTCAGATGGTAACCGCCTTTGAGTTGGGAACTGTCCTCTTGTGCTCTATGAAAGGCTTGCACAATAGGGAGGCGCAAAACATTGCATTATAGTCTGGCATGAAACATTGCGAAATTTTAATTTTGTCAAGCCTTTGAAGTGGTTGGCTCAAGACAAATCAGCCTCCCAGTTAGCAAAATATTTAACAACTCGCATGGCTCAACATCTTGCAAGAGCTTTTGGTCCAGCTTGTTTCAAACAATTGGGCTCCATGAAAAGACATGGGAGGTTTTCTGGAATTCCATTTGAAGAAAGACTGGGCATTTCTGGAGCAGTGGCCACATACTTGTTGACAGTGGTTTTTTTTGTAAAAAAAAAAAAAAAGTGCCAGAACTCACACATGTCATACAACCCGCCTTGCCTACCCTACAAGGTTCCATCCAAAAAAGGTGCCGGAACTCTGTTCTGGGTGTTCTATGACAAAAAAAAGCCCTGCTTGTTGAGCGCAAACTGTACTTTGCAGAAAGGATTGCTACTTAGATTCTTCTTTTAAAAACTAAAAAAATACTGGGGCACCTGGGAGAAGCTGTCTTACTTTTTTGGAGGGAACTAACCTGCCCTCTTTATTTCAAAGGCCATTTCAAAGAAGACAGAATATTTAGATCAGTTTGGGTTTAACTGTCGGGGTGATGGCTTACTATGAACATATCCTGTTGTTTTCTTTGTGTCTACGTGTATATTTGTATTAGCTTTATATTTTTGATACGGCTAAACAACTAAATCAATAAAGTTTTATTCTATTCTGTGAAACAACCTATTTCAAACATGAGCTAGGCTCTTTTAAGCATTTCCTTGAAATTATATATTTTGCATTCCAGGAAGGCATTTCATAAACTTCAAACAATTTGAAATTTATCTGTACACCCTATATATTGTACATTGATACCAACTTATTAAATAATATTTTCTGCATTTATTCAAGAAGATATCTGCTGTTATGGTGAAAAAGAAGAGAAAGAAGGGTATAATGTAAGTTCGCCACTTGAGTTACTTATAAAGTGATAAAGACGGGATAAAAAACAATCAATCAAACCAATAAATAAATAAATGTTTATAAGATACCATGTAATCAACACAGGTTTTCTTGAATTTAGAGACCAGGTAGTATATTAATTATGTTAAAAAAAATAATTACTATATTATGACCAGTTCACAAAGTTAAACAGGATATCATATTTTGTTCAACTGTAAATATCCTAGATAGAATGTACTTTGAACTTAGATTAAGGCATAATTTATACTGATGACAATTTTTGACAATAAAATGTACTCTGAATATTATACATTACTATTAACTAATTTTTTAAAAGTCAGTAAAAATAACCAAGGGTTAAAAGTTATTTATTCAATTTAACTTTGATAAAGTGATAACTTATAAATTACTTTTTTTTATTTTTTAACATAAATCCTGACTACATTTTTCTAAAGGAAGTCCCCTAAACAATCCGTATATTGTTGGAACAAGTACTCCACAGCTAACAGCCTAAACATTTCAAACTTTACAAATATATATAATCGTATAATATTATTTTAGAACTGTACCTTGTATTCCATTCAATTTTCTTCTTTTGGTCAAGATTGTTAAAACCAGATGTTAGACGTGAAGATAGCCAAGAACTTAGCACATGAAAGCCAAGTTGAAATATAGCAAAACTGCTGACAGCTATGCCCACATTGAGTTTATTAAAGATAGTCATCTTTCTTCTGCCTGTTAAAAACACAATTTCCAACAGAATTCCTCAATTCAGGCATGTGCCAAATAATGCTACTACTTTAAAATCAACAATAATTTACATTAAGACTTCAATTCTTGACAATGGGCACAGGAGAAGTGTATTTGCTGCTGGCACAGTCTGCCTAGAATATGATAAATTGTGGTAGGGTTATATCTGGCTGCACCCATTGTTGCATGTATTCTGTAGATTGCAAAATAAATACTTTACATATTCCAACCCCTTTATAAAAAAATAGTCTAAATTTACAGTATCAGAAGAAAATTAATGAAATGTCCACTAAATCTAAGCCACGACAGACATGATGCAATATGACAATGATTCCACCATACCTGCATACAAACTGTAACTCTGTATCAGTGGTGTCAAATTGCCAGCCCATGGGCTGGACGCATCATCTGGAACTGAGCCCACCCCATTGCATGATGTCACGTGACATTGCGAGTTTGACATGTCTGCTCTATATGAAATGATGGTATACGAAAAGGAAACCAATCATTATAAATACATGCCAGTTGCCAAACACCCAAATTTTAGACACGTGACCATGGGAATGCTATGATGGTCATAAGTGCAAGGACCAGTCAGTCGTAAATCATTTTTTTCAGTGCTATTGTAACTTTGAGTGGTCACTAAACAAATGGTTATAATCAAGGACTACCTGTATACTCTTTGTAAGGACTAGAGTCAGGGGTAGGCAACCTTGGCTCTTTTATGACTCGTGGACTTCAACTCCCAGAATTCCTGAGCTAGCATGCTGGCTCAGGAATTCTGGGAGTTGAAGTCCACAAGTCATAAAAGAGCCAAGGTTGCCTACCTTGGACTAGACCCTCACTTATCATTGCAAGATGTAATGCAAATAATTAATAGAAATGAGATGCTGTAATTTCCTGTTCTGGATGATGAGTTAATGAAACTGTCACAGAACTATGAACAGTCATTAGGAGAGATAAATGAATTAACAAAAAAAAGACTGAATGCATGCTTTTAGATACGTGGTATCTATCTCATTAATCAATAATAATCATCTAGTCCACCTAGTTGGTTATGCTTTAATCACTACCTGTATGTTTCCCACGGCCTAGAACAGTGACTGGTATTAAATAAAACTGTGATTCTTAAAAAGGACGCAACTGAAATATTTAAAATTACTCCTTCCAAATGTTTTACTCAGTATCTTTATGCCAAGACTTTATGGACCCATTAACCATGAAGTTTTGTTTGAAATATTAACAAGATATCAGTAGATGAGAGAATATGCTCTAACAGTTCATAATACCCCCCCCCCCGATTTCACTGGTTTGTGAATTCAACATCACTGATATCATACAGTAAAAAGGAAAGAAAATAACAAGGTTTGTAGAACTTTTCTGGTGGAAAAATACTTGTAGACATATTAGAAGAAATGCGAATTGAGTTTTATAATACGTGTCACCTGCTTCATGATTAATATTGCATTCTAACACACATACAGTATACTTTGCACACAGAAAAGGAGAGCAATATTGTGTAACCTCTAACACCCATGTGAATTAAGCTATTTTGTACATTCCAGTTTCCAGCTTCCAGGATTGGATGAAATAGCACCCAAAAAAATTAGACCCTCCCAACAGCAAAATTAGACCCTCCCAATATTATATATATAATATTTTATTAATTTTCCAATTTTACATTTAAGTATTTAAAAAGCAACGTGGTGCCTGGGTTAATCAATAGTTCGATAACAAAATCTTTAGTACAAATCTCAAGTTACAACATCAAGTATTTCCTCTCTTTTTCCCTTAACATTTACTGTCTCGTATTTAAGCTAATACAATTCTTATTATATCAGCTCAGTAAAAACATCATTACTACATTTATCAATAAATTTTAGCTTAAATGTATCTTAATTATTTGTTACATTCAATCTTCATAAACAATTCATAGCCTGTTATTATTTTTTCCCCAATTTTTAGTTTCCCATCAATATTCCAATTTAACCTTTGATATTTAAAATTTTCAGGTTTTAGGTAACCAAGATTTCCCTTATCTCAATTCATAACAGAATCTAATATCCAAAATACACATTTTATCTATTTGAATATAATCTTGTTCTATTTCCTAAAAGTTATCTATTTCCCATCATATTAAATCAACTACTTAATACAATATCCCCTTTAATAAATCAAAACCATTGTATACATTACCTGGGTTAATCAATAAATCAAACATATTCATAATAATTATTTTTTTCTTTCAGGTCTAATTTTTAAATATTAAACAGATAAAATCCTTATTTTCAACTAATTTCCAAATATTTTAAATCTAATTATCAGAATTCCCCTTATCTCAACTTCTCCCTTTAACCCGCTAATTAATAATATGAAATCCTGTCTAATAAATCAAAACTCCAATTTTCTTCAGCCTTATTCTGGCTTTCTTCCTTTGCCAACTAGGCTTCCATATCAGTACTTTTAGATCATCAAATAAATCTCCTTCTATTATTATATATGTTATTTGAAATAAAAGAGACCATTTAATTGCCATTGTTGGGAAGGACTAGCCCATTTGTATTCATAAAGTTGTCTCCCTATTATTCCAATTCCCCATGATTGCCCTGATATGTTTATCTTCCATTCAATCTGTTCTTCTTCTTTCTTAAATTTCTTCTGATTTATATAGAAAGTCTTTTCCATTTTCAGTGTTGTCATTCCCTTTTCTGGATTTTCCATTAACTGTATTTGTTGGTCAGTTAAGTCCTCTGTCTTAATATTTGATTGTTGCACTTCTTCTGTTATCTTCTGAGTTGTTAGTTCTTTGCTTGTAGTCAAAGTTTGGGTTTGTGTATCTAAGCTGGTGTCTTGATCTTTTATGTTAGGTCTTATTTTATCACATGCTGAAAGAATGGTTTCATGTATTGCTTTCAACATGGAAAGGATCTTTTCCTGGTCTTCATCCATCTCTTTCACGTGTTTATAAATAGTCTTTATAGTAGAAGTCGTTTGTCAAGCAAGATTTTATAGTCCAAGATATTTCATCATCTCATATAGTAACCAATATTCCTCAAATAAAGCGATAGAAAGGCAATTCCCCACATATAACTCTGAAAGTCAGTAATGGTTTACATTCACATTTCAAGTAGGCCATTTATGCTGCCCAGCCGTTCTTTTACAGCTGAGTTTCTCACAGGTGGTGCCAAGGTCAAAAGAGTCTTATTTAAGGTCTGGGCTTCAAGCCAAGTCTCTGTTAGGAAATAACAAGTTGTAATACCAAACTTCGCCACAAGTTGTCACCAATGCCATTTAAGGTTTTTTAAGTCCAAAATTTTTATAATCCTTTTTCCAATTTTATTTTTTTATACAGATAAAAGCAAAAGTCTCCAATAAAAATAGGAAAAATTTTGGTCCCCAAGTTTCAGGAACATATAAATCCAATTAGATTAAAGTTGTTCTTTTAATGCTTTAATTCCCTTGGATAGTCAGTTGCCACTATTCTTACAAGTTGGGATAGAAATTCCCTTTCCTCTCTCCTCACAGGGGGAAAGACATTTCAGGCAGCTTTTACAGGAAAAGTATCGCGTTGCTTTCGAAGTGCTTGGTGATAAGTTTGACTTCGACTGTCTGCAGCCTAGTGACGGGCCATATTACTATGGCCGGTCTTTCCTCCACTGGTTTGGAGGGCTGCCCCGGACTGAGCGGAAGGGCTGCTGCCCTCCCGTGATCAAGCGGGAGTCCCCTCCTTGCTCATCGCCCCTAGAGGGTGACTTTCTATCCTTTCCAGGGACCCCCAGCGAATCGAAACCGAACTCGGAAGACGGAGCTCGCCTTCCAGTGGCCACGGCGGCTGCAATGGCAAATCGGAAGACCGCATGAAGGTCTTTCTGATAGTATTCTCAACATACGAATGTTGCAACCAGGTATAAAAGATATACAGTACAGGCCAATGCTGAGAAATTTAATTTTCTTGCATCTTTAACATATGAATAATATATATTAATATATCTTTAATATATTATAGTATAGTATATATCCTTAATATACATATTCTTAACATACTATCTCATCCCAATGGGATTAACCCACCCCACTTGTGCCAGCACATCTGGCCTAATGTGTACTCCGTCAAGAATTCCAGCTACCGGAGTCCAGGAGAAAAGCCTTTTCTGGTGCAGCTCCCATCCTCTGGACCATTATACCCCTTGAAGTGAGGTTTGCCCCAATCCTTTTGCCCTTCCATAAGAGCCTCAAGACTTAGCTCCAGTTAGGCTGGAGGCCAGATGGCATTGTGTCCTGGAGGCGCTTACTGGATTAAATACAAATCCATTGTATGCCCACCCCATCTTAGCTACTCTTCATTAATTTTAATGTTATATGTATTGTTCTGCTATTTTTAATTTTTATCAGCTTGTAAGCCACCCAAAGTTGTGTGACTGCATATACATGTAATAAATAAATAAATATTTATGAACAATCCAATCATGGGTAAAGATATCATGACTAAAGATGGTATGGGAAAGACTGTTATTGCTGCATTTTTCCTATAGGAAGGCATCAGAAAAGTAATTAGAATGTCTGGTGCCTATGTCACATTTATTCAGATTTAAAATTAATTATTTAATTATGTCTATTGGATATTTATGACTGTATTAGGAAGAAATTGGTGGGCTCGCTAATGTTAGAAATTTGTATTTAAAATGTAATATTGGTTTTCTGTTGATCCTATTGAGGCATGACTAAATTTATTTATCATTTTGAAAAGTTCATTATTTAAAATACTTATTCGGAAACTAATAGATCAATACACTTTTTTATTGTTACTATATATACACACCATTGTCTGTCAATTATAAAATCTTCTGAAGAAGTTTTTTTTTTCTCTGAATAAGTTTTTTATTTAAAAATACTTAAAAGGGAACATCTAGAGAAGACACATGAAACGACAACATCTCCAAAGGAATAAAATTCCGTTGTCAATAAAATTCATGAGGAAAGAAAAA